AAACACTCTTCTAGCTGCTCATTTTAATAAAGGGTTGTTAGTTCTAATAGCTTTCTGGTAATTGATTATTGCCTGAAGGTAAATGAATGTCTATTATAATGAAAGATAATTTTAGTATTTTAGATTTTTTTTTTTTTAATAAATTAATTAATTACACTAACCTGTTCATATTTTAACTTATATAGCAAATTTTGATTGTTGACCCAAGTGAAATATCCTTTGACCGATATTTCAGAATTGCTTTTTACATACGGCTATATAAGTTCCATAGAAAACGCCTAAGGGTATATGTTGCAGATAGAATCTCAAGACTTATGATGATCTGTACACTTTTTGAAATACGAAAGTTGATTCTCTGTTTGATAGCCCTAGCACCTTGCAAACCGTTTTATATCTATTTCTCTAAAATAGAATTTAATTATGTAATGTTAATGCTAATTTTTAGTAATCTTCTTGGCATTTCAGAAAATATCGACCAGAGCATTTCATGTAATTAAAATTCTTAAATTCCAAAGTTAACAATCTTTTAATTCGCTCCTGCATACTTCTATTATCTTAAACAAAGCAGGGTGACCTTTAAAATCAGAATTTAGATCAATGTAGCAGATCAAGTGTTTTGATATTCAACAATTAAAATCATCAATTTAATAATAAAAATTCATGGTACAGTAGTAAAAAATTTATTACTAACCAGTTTAACTCCACAAATGCTCGTAGCATATTCATTTCTTCATGTAATGGTCCTAAGATAAGAACCAACCACAGAAATTTTTCCTTCAATTTTAGAGCATGATGGTATGGAACGCTATCACAAGTTACCACCATCCACTTGCGAGCTCCACTTTTAATTCCTGTGATTGTTTCTATATGTAAAAGAACTTTTCAATATTAGCAATTGAATTGGAATTAATATTAACCAGATCAGGAATATAAATGTCAGAAATATTAACTCCTTGATCAGTAACTTATCGCTGAGTAATACTGATTCTAGGAATATTAGTAGAACTTGAACTTGATCGTTATCAAAATTATATAGCCTAAAAACAAGTAAATTGTCAGTCTTATTAATTTCTTCTTCAACTGTTTTTTCCTTTTGAATTTCAGCTAATGTTGGTAATTGCATTCCACAATCAGGGCAAACTTTTCTTCAATTTTCAATTTCTTGTTTATGGCAGCTAGGGCATACTTTCATATTGGTAATCTTAGTTCCTGTAGATGCTACAAGAGTATCGATAATATTAATAGAGGATTATTTCTCTTGAGACAATAAATTTAATAGATTATCAAGGTAATATATAATTCTTTGTCACAACTTCTTGCATTTGAGGACTAATTTCAAAAAGTTTGTCATACTGTAGAATATTAAGAGAATTATATGCCCAAGGCGAATTAGTAATATGCTAAATTCTATTTTGTGATGACATATTAAAAACAACAAAACTTGTAACAATATGGTAAATCATGATATTAAATCCTCGATCAAGGTAATTTTTCTGTCCCCACTGTTCATTATCGAATGCAAGAAGCAAAAGACCTTCAGGTAATGGTTCTTTATGCTTTGATAACTCTTCTATCTACTTTTGAAACCGATAATAACTCCCTGAACTTGTAATATGGTTATCAATATTGATAATTATCTTTGACCATGCAATTGAATACTTAATAGCCGAAAGAGCAAGCTGAATTTTCGATACGTATTTTTCATGTCATGTCTATATAGCGAATCAACTACAGAAGCAACCTTAAAAAGCTTTTCTCGACTTAAAATATTAGTGCTTCTATCATTTTTAACAAGATTTTTAATAAATTTGACAATGACTTGATTACGTTTATTGAGCCACTCACTAGGACTATATAGTACAAGATTTCCTATAGAGAACCTATTTTTATCTTGAATCAATGCTCTCACATCATCAAAAAATGACACATGCTCTGCATTTGCTATTTCAACAATTGCATCAATACGTTTTTGTTGATTAGCAAATCTTGAATTCTACTGTTCAATAAAGACCTTATTGTAACCGTATTGTTCAGAATATAAATTTTGAACTTCAATAATATCATCACGAGCTTTTTGTAATTGACCCCTTAACGCCTTAATTTCATTATTTTGGCTTTCTATATACTGTTGTATTTGTGCGATTTGGTTATTGAAAGTTATTATCTCTTGTGATTTTTGCTAATTTTCCACTTGTACAGATTCTAAAAGCTGTTTAGTTTGATTGAGTTCAACTGTCGGATCAACATAGCTAGCATGAAGTTGACTTTCTTGAACAGAATCTATAATATGCTGATAAAACTGATTAGTATTAATTACTTGATTGTAATATATCTGACAAATTGAATAATTTGTTAAAGAAGAATGACGTTCAGCAAGTTCAAGAATATAATCATGATATTTTAAAAGGTTCTTAGCTACATTTGTGCTATCATCATGTTGCCATGTTTGTAATTCACTGGTTTCACAAGGTCTTAAATGAAATGTCTTATACCGCTCAATAAGATCGGCGAAAATGCACTTGAGAGTATGCGCTTTAGGCTTTTGGTAAGTAGACACTATAAGAAAAAAAAAATACAAATATTTTAATTAGTGAAATTCTGTTCTTTTGTATGTATTAACTACACGCGAATGCGTAATTTGAGGTCTTATTTACTTTGGCTAATAAAGTGAAACTCAACTGATTAACTTTGATTATCAAAACTAGAGGTCGAATATTATATGTTCGAAAACTTTTTAGTATTAAGCAATTCTATAAAAATTCACGTTGAAGCGATAAAAAAAAGTAAGCATAAACCAATCAAATTGTAAGAATTTTGCGTAGATCTTTCTAGAATCTTGATTCCTAATTTGGGATATCCCCTGACTGTAATAAAATCTTGAATATCTTGTGAAAAATTAATTACATTTTCTCGATATCCAAGCTATCTGCCTTGAAGCTTGTAAACAGTAAATCTAAGAAGAACCTGTGCAATAAGCATTTCTCCAACTTGACTAAGTTGAGAAAATTCACTAAAAAATTCTCCTATAAAAATTTTTATATTATTTTATTATTATTATTTTTTTTATATAATTTATATAAGAGACGAACATGAAAATATTTATATATGTTTTTTTTACATACCAAGGTCCATATCATTCTCACTTAAAAACCTTTTTGGTATTAATTTCTCTTGATTACATTTACTGTATAATCTCGCTTAAGTACTAATAAAATCATGGAAAAGCTCTCTTACAAATAAAGCAAAAATTAAATTTAAGTACAGAAATTGTATTGTGAAATTCTTTTAGAAGATTATAATCATCAGCAGAAAGCTGGCATGCAAGCGGTAATGGTAAAATATTTTGGTTTTCTAAAAAAATGTTAGTTAATACAAATAGTCATATATTAGAATTTGATATTGAGAATATAACTAAATACTATATTTGTTACTCATATTTGTATTTTCTTTTTTAGCATTATTATTTTGATGTTTGTACTAATTCTGCCTTTTTGTTGACTCATTATTTTGGTAACTTAGTTGTTCTTCAGGTGTCATAGAAGCTAGTCTCCTTCTTCTAGTATCATTTCTTACAGCCTTTTGTTTAGACATATAAATTCTTTTATATTTTTGCATTGATATGATATGTTATTAATTAACTTTTAATTGGCTTTTGTTAATCGTATTTTATTTATTATTATTATATTTATAAAAATTTATAATCATTACCAGGTGATACTAATATCCTAACTAAATTAACCAATTAAATTTCAAGAAATATCACATAATAATAAACAATTTTATTATAACAAAATCAATATATTATATATATATATACAGTATAATAAACTAAATATAATAAATAACAATATAACATGATTTAAAATTTAAACCAAATAGCTATTTTGGCATTTTTTACAACTCAAACCCTAATTGTAAGCATGACATCTTTTCCAATATATTTGAACATATTGAATGATTCTTAATTTATTGCCAATATCTTATTATAGAAGCTAACTTATTTAAAAACTGTTCTAGGATCACCAACAAAATACTAAAATTTTCTCAATTATATGCAAATCATCTAATAATGAATCATGCCTTGTATAATATAACAAGAATGGAAAGATCTAAAAAAATGTTCATTTTCAAACTCTAACTATAACCAAAACCTAATATAAACGAACTCTAAAGAATTGTGACAGTATCACATGATTGAGAAAATTTTGTTGCCAATGTTGAAGAAAGATCTAATTAAATTGAACATTACATAATACCGACAATTTTTGGTGATGCTAGTAAAGATTACATAGCACAGAAAAAAAAAACATAATAGCAAGCAAATTTTAGTTAATTTATATAGTATAATAATAGGGATATGTATGACTAAATAAAAATTTTATTTGCTACTTAACTTTAAAAAGATACCAGACTATTGATTTAATATGTAGCTATTGCTATATATGTCTAGCTCCTATAACAAGATTTATTTCTCATGTTAATTAAGAAACACATGTATGTTATAAAAGTTTTTTTAAAAAAATTCTTTCATATTTACCAAAATATAGTCATATTTATCCTTATTATAATTCAAAAAAAAACACAAATTTCTAGTATAGTTAGATCAGATTTATATTTAAATTAAGTTTCAGCTTAACTTAAATATAGATACATATGACCTTTAAATACAAAATTAATACAATCGAATCTTTTCAAATTATATTATACGTATACCAAAATAAGCAATATGCAATCAGATTAACAGCATTTGTAAATTTTATAAGTGCAAATCAATATCATATATATCTTGATATAGAAAGCTTATACAAACATAGATACAAATAACAACACAAAGATACTTCAAAATTTATAATCACAAAATCATATTGAACAGCACAATTATAAGTTGCTATCTAAAAGCTTTGTCTACTATACTTAATTAATCAGCTATTTTCTCAGAACAATTTCAAGAATCATAGTATTATGACTTACATATAGCATACTGATGTTTGTTTTTCTTTTTATCCTGATTCCAATAATTCATCTTGGTGATTTGAACTAACATTTTTCTATTGTAATTCTCAATCGCTGATAAATATCTTTTGTTTGCAGGATGGCTCTTACCTTTGTGCTGACATAGATTTGAAATACTAAAACTATTATTTTTTTGATTCAACTCCTGCTCAGATGTATTCTTATTTTGTACTGAAATTTGCTCATCAATAAATCGTTGTAAAATACTTTCTAAAACATTATTGGAACCAGTCATAATTGCTATGTTTAGATCCTTTTTACAGAGCCAAGACCATGCCATATGACACATTATTTGAATCTAACTCTGTAAGATTTCTAACATCAATCTTTTATCTATGAATCCTTTCTAATTCTTGAAACATACTAGTTAGAATTGGGTTATTCTTATTTTGTACTACCAGAACAGATGATTCTTGACTTTTGTTAAATATTTTAAGACCTTCTTCAGAATACCAATGTGAAGGAATCAATTTCATATTAAAAAGTGCCTTTTTTGAATGAATCATGACAGCAAACAAATGTTGGCAAACAAATCTAGTATATATTAAATATAAGCATATACAATAGTGTATACCATCTTAAGTAATAAAACAAATTGTGAATGATTCATTGTACTTTGAACATGTTTAACTTCCTAAATTTCATTTATACTAATTCTACAACAATCATCCAAGGCCATGTTTAATAAAATTTGTAGTTCTTCATAATCATCTTCTATAAATCCCATGTTATGACAATGTAACTTCTAAACAAATGATATGTATAATATGATCTTTACTTATAATATAATTAAATAAATAAGTGATGTATAGAGAAAACCTATAACTATGAATTCAAATTTTTACTAAACTCAAATTTTCTAAGTTTAGTAAAATTTAAATTTGTGCTTATAACTTTTTCTATATATTATTCGAATAGAATATAAAAAAAAACAACTTTTCTGATTTATAGTAATATTAAGTTCATTAGTATATAATAAAACTCTATACAAAAGACTTTTTAACATCTGTCTCTGCTACAAAGCTAATGAATTAGGTGTAAGATACTTCTTGCACATCTTATCAATATTCTTAAAAATTATATTAGAAACATAAGGGAGACCTGTCGTAGAATTCATATTTTTGAACTCTTGTAACCTTGCATATTGAGCTTTATCCTTGAGTCGCAATTCAATTCCTGTGTGAAGTTAGCATAAAGAGTTTCCAGAGTTGGCTTCTAATTTTATAACACGATTTATATATTTAACACATTGTGTTGAATGAGTGTTTGCTGAAAAATTCTAGTTTGTAAAAATATACGCCCAGCATTCTTTTGTCAGATACAATGCTTGATTACAATATTCTTGAATTTCTAGATACTTGTTCATCAGATCTGCCTAGCAAAAATCGAAGTTGGATATTGCAAGTGAATTACGAAGCATATTACAAAGCATATAAAAATCTGAAATGAACCTATCCCATTTATTATGGAGCTTTTTTTGACTTTTTAACTAGATTTTGCTAAATATAAAATACACAATGCCAAACAATAGTTTCCAGATATTTATTAGAAATAGCTACTTGCATCGCCAGATTTGTATCTGTAAATATTGTTGTTGGTTAAAGATTATTAGTAGCCAATATAGTTTGGTCTAAATTCTACTCGTAAGTTGATACCGTCTTGTCATATGCTGCAATTTAGTTTCACTGATTTGAGTCAATTACAATAAATATATTTAGAAGCATCATGTATTTGTTTGTTTTGTATATATTGTCATTAATAACAATATTATGGAATCTGACCGCAAACTTTTTTGATTAGGTAATATCCAAAATATTTTGGAAAGTCTATTATCAATACCTTCGAAATCAACTTTAAAATACCAATTTGGATTTTTTTGTTGTAGCCTTACTAGAGATTTATATAAAGCTAAAGCATCATTTTTAGTTTGATTATCAGTCTTAAACCTACTTATCATATTATAAAGATCTCTATTATAAATTTTTTGATCTGAGAACTTATTCTATAATATCTGTTTAAAACTGTTGCCTCTAAATGGCATTCTTGAATATAGAATCTAATCTCTTCTTTAATATGTGCAGGTATTTACTGTAAAGATAGTAAAACCTGAAGCAATTCACTATCCTTTAATGTATCATTGTGCTTCTCAACAAACTTGTTAACAAATACAAGATTTAACCATTTTCTATACGCAGTGTTTAACAAAAAATCACACTCTATACAAGCTGATTCCTGCTCCTTATTAGTTATAGGATCTAAATTCTTTTTGGGTAAGCATTTACCCCATGTCGACACTTATATGTTTTTCTAAAAAAAAATATTATTTTTCTTTTTAGCTCGTACTATCTTTGTTTCAAAACCCATTTGAGTAGAATAATATTTCAGATATTGCTCAAGCATCTCAAAAGATGTGAAGGTCTGCGCGGCATTTATTTCTTTTAGAGAACTATCCTCAAGCTTATCATCTGAATTACTATATTTATATTCTTCAGGCTCTTCTTCTAAATCACTGCCTTCATATATGTTGTCTTCAATATTTTTAATTGTAGGCAAGAAATTAGATTCTTTTTCAAAGTCATCACTTTCAAACATACTGCCTTTAGCATTTCCAATTATAGATAAAATATCAGGCCCATCTTCATATTCATCTTCAGGTACATCTTTCTTAATATATCTGGTTATAAGAAAATTATCAATAATCCACATGTTGGAGGATAAAGTAAAATCAATATAGGCTTTAGAGTAATATGAAATTCCATGATTCATATGATCCTTGTAAGTTTCAGATACTTTTTTTTAAAAAAAAAAAACTTTGTTAATTATAAAACTTAAGATGAAATGTCAGAACGATTTTATTACAAGCTTTGAAGAAAGATACGTGAAAGAAATACGTAAACCTGAAGAAAAATTTTTAGTTAGTTACAAATAAATTTCAATTTAAAATTCAAGGCATAATATCTGAAGCAAAAGCTTTATAGTAAAAAAGGTTGTAAGTTTTGAAAAAGATATGTAACAAAAAAAACGTATAGAAATACTAAAAAAAAAGGTAGTTAATAGGTTACAAAGTACAAGAATATTCGTCAAAGTTATCACATTTACAAATATGATGAATCGTAAAAAGGCTTTTATTATCAAAGTATATTCTTACTTTTTCAAGGCTATTTGTTATACGTTAACTTACCTAAACGAAGAAAGTTCTATTGTTTTGCGATTATGTACTTATTTATTTGTTTGTTTTAAAGTCTGATTACTTCTTGCATCGTTCTCTGCATCATTCCCCTTACTATGATTTATGTATGACATATACTAAGTGCCATGTAACCATGTATAATATTATAACCCGATTTATATGCACTATACGTGTTCATGTGATAGAAAAATTACTATATTAGATAAGGGGGATATTAATAACCCCTGGTATAAAGCAGATTTATACATTTAAATTTAGGAATTTATAATTTATTGCATGGTGCAATATTTGCACCCCTATTATACTATATGAAGATCATCAATTTTGTGTAATAAAAAAATTTTTATCAAAACAAAAAATAAAATTTGATTAATGTTAGAATTAGGGTTAGGATTTGGGATAAGGTAGGAGTATAGGTTATATAAAAATTTTACGGAAAATTTTTTTTATCAGAACCTCAAAAGTGGTTTCATAGTAAAAATTTTGATAACAGAAGGGATGCAATAAAGTTTAAAACCCTTAAATTTATTTTGTCAGTTTTATTTTCCGATGCTTATATTTATTTCCCTAATACATATATTATATTATATACATATTACATCTGTTTCATAAATTCTGGGACATCGGATAAAATATTAGCCGAATGATTTTTCGGCAGATCCGGTTTAAGTTATTGATTTTGGGCAATAAATATTTTTATTCGACATTTCATATGATCATGTGAATTTTTTTTGCCATGATATTTTTTACATGAAATTACGTAATCAGTTTTG